ACTTTCTCCTCAAGCTTATCAAGCATACTACGGTGATGAGCGAAGACAAGCATCTTACAATCGTTGTCAAGTAGATAATCGAGATAGTCCTATAACGACTCATCAACATTATCATATAGCCGACCGCTGGTCCAACCTTGACAGCCCCTATTTTAGCCTCGCCAGTTTTCCTCCATATTTCGAGGAATCCTTGAGACCTCTGGCGCCCATCACCATTCATAAGGCTCTCTCGACTCAACTCTCTCATAGTCTTCTGAGCTTGCTGCACCTCCGCCAAAACCTTTTGGGATTTGCCGTCTGTGATGTCTAAAGGGACTTTAATTCTATTTTTTTCAGGTAGTTCCTTCAACACATCCTTCTTTAATCGTCGTATCATTATCGTATCTATTATCCCACTAACATCAGTGGACAAGCTTATGCCTACTTGTGAGCAGATTATAAAGTTCCTCTTTGTTTTTGGCCCCAACCCACTTGTTGACAAGTCGTCCTAAACGAAAATGGTTGGAACTACGACCACACCCATTGCGGCGCCGCCGCCGCCGCCGGCCGCGATGATGATGATGATACTCACCTCTGCCTATGTGCTGCTGTTCCTTTATACAGTAGCGATTATGGAATTTACTCTCACTAGGAAAGTTCTCTGATAAAAGACGCGATACATGATAGCGATAATGGCACTGTCCTTACTAAGAAGACAGTAAAGGATATTGTAGAGTTCCGCCGCTCGGTTGAGTGCCGGTGTACCCGAGATGAGAATAGCACGATTGGCTCTCTGGAGTACGGGCATCACAGCCTTAGTTCGTTGGGCTTTACTATCCTTAATCGCATGACACTCGTCACATATCACTACTTGGAAACTGAAGCATAAATCTGGGACGAATTAAGAGTGAGAGCACACAAGCCATGCAGTTCGGTAGTAAGAGCGGTGACCGCCGCCGCCGTTAATATTGCGCAAGTTGAGTACATTCCTAGGCCCTACAATGCAATATTCCGCTCCCAATTATATTATAGACTTGTTGAGAGAGGTATGGTATTGTGTGAGGTGTATGGTGGAATAGGGAGCTCAGTTGACTCGATTGTCTTCCCAAATGGTAACGAATGATGTGTTATCAATGAGGCTGCTGCTGATAGCATCATGCGAGAGCATCAGTAGATGAGGCATAATGGAACTCTCTTTCTTTACTATCTTGCCCTTATAAAACTTTTTCTGATGTACTGTATCTTGGGATATAAGCATC